ATAATGAATATAATAATATGAAAGGTACAAAGTTTTGGGGGATGAATATACTGTAGCTATTAACACTACAGTATTTTAAAGGTACTTAATACAGAAAAAGTCCTACAACAGGGTTAAATTCTGTCCTCAAATGTTCATGAGCAACTCCCACTGCCTTATCCTAGAGCAAAATTTGGGCAATTTCGTCTCCTATATTACAAAGTTCTGTTGGAAAGAGCCCTTCATATTGATAAATTTCAGGTCTCCATGCAATATCTGGGCATATATAAACTATTTTTTCTTGGACAAGAATCACCCTTTTTCTGAAACTCCAAAATGACTCAATAAATTTTCTCCAAATGAAAAAATGAAATAAAGTCTGACAGGATAATCTGAGAAAATCCACAGAATCCCCTGAGGTGATGCTAGTATTAATACATTTCATGCAAATGGGAACAGCTTTCACAGCTTTCACCAGTTGGCCTCCTTTTTATCAAATCATAATCAGTGAAGTATCTGTACAGGTGTTTGTGGATAGATATATTATTTTTCAAGTTTGAGTCAGTGAACTATATGTACAAGTCTGTGTATTATATATATTTTATATGCATTTTAAAAATACTGTCCAGTAAGAGATTTACATGGATTTATCAAAGGTCAATAAAACCACTCAGATCGGATTTCATAACATTTTGTATTCCTAAAGCATTTGAACATCTAAGCATACTGTCAGCAATGTTAATACTGATTTTGGCACTGACCCTGCAATCAGATTTCTGTGTGTGAACCTTATGCTCCTGTGGAGTCCTGTTGAAGACAGTGGGCTTCAACAGAGATGGAAGTGTCAGCAGATCTGATTGTCAGGACCCGGCTTTAGTAGTTATTTTTTCTACAGTATATTTTTAAGAAGAATGAGGGACTCTAGGTGCTGAATGTTTGTGCAAGTAGAAACTGTTTTAGATCAGACAATTGTCGGAAAAAAACAGAGTTCTCACTCTCTTTTTTGGGTGCAGCAAATCAGATACTTTACTCTCAAGCAATCTACTTCCACACATTGTACTACTGAGAAGGGTTAAAAGAACAAGTGGGCTATTAGACTATAGAAGTCTTAACAGGTAGTTTGAAATTCCTTCTTTTTCATGCTGAAAGTCTGTTGGGTTCCTTTCTGCACACCATTAGTGGATATTGACTTAAATAGGACTAAACCTTCTATACTACACAAATAGCTCAAGTTACATCCAGATTGCTGAATCTCCCCCTCCCCCCAGCCAGTAGTTTTTCTCCTGAGTATTAGAACATTTTGTAGGGATAATGGGGGGGAGGGAGACTAACCTCATCCATTATATGGTAATGGAGGTCCAAGGTTATCTTTTACATCCATTACAGGTAAATAGAAACGTTGAACAGATATGCTGCAGATATAAATTGAAGACTGTCAATGGGGAGCAGTTTTTCACTCCTGTTGGCCTGACATTCCTAAATGTACCTAAAAAAGTGTTAATTTAGCTAAAGGAACAATACAGCATTTATTCCATAGAACTGAACATTGTGGTGTCTTTTAGGAACAGATGAAATATGACTTGGGTTTATCATAAAAAAACCACCCTGATACTTTGTATATGTATCTGTCTTTTGTGTCTGCGTGAACTGTCTCATATATGATGGTATGGTATATTGTAAAGGTTTCACCAACATAAGTTAGTGATTTCTGCATTACAAGTGGCCTATACAGGTCATCCCAAATGAGTGCCAGTAAAACAATTACATCACTAGATCATTAACTATTCAGTATATGCTCATATATTTTACTGAAAAACAGATTTAGAAATATTTGAGTTTTTTAAATTATTGGTACTTTTATTCATCTTGTTCCATCTGTAATGCCAGGTGTGGGTGTGGATGTATATGTATATTAGGGCTGTCAATTAATCACAGTTAATGGATGCAATTAACACAAAACAAATTAACTAGATTAAAAAATAGTTGTGATTAATCACAGTTTTAATTGCACTGTTGAACAATAATAAAGTAGCATTTATTTAAATATTTTTGGATGTTTTCTACATTCTCAAATATATTAATTTCAATTACAATATAGAATAAAAAGTGTACAGTGCTCACTTTATATTATTTGTTATTACAAATATTTGCACTGTAAAAAAGATAAACAAAGGAAATAGTATTTTTCAATTCACTTCATACAAGTCCACTCAGTCCTACTTCTTGTTCAGCCAATCGCTAAGACAAACAAGTTTGTTTAAATTTACAGGAGATAATGCTGCCTGCTTATTTACAATGTCACCTAAAATTGAGAACAGACATTCTCATGGCACTGTTGTAGCCGGTATTGAAAGATATTTACATGCCAGATATGCTAAATATGTGTATGTCCTTCATGCTTCAACTTGTAGGCTTTAAAGTTTTGCATTGTTTTGTTTTTTTAGTGCAGTTATGTAAAAAAATAATTCCACATTTATAAATTGCATTTTCACAATAAAGAGATTGCTCTACAGTACTTGTATGAGGTGAATTGAAAAATACTATCGCTTTTGTTTATCTTTTTTACAGTGCAAATATGTGTAATAAAAAATAATAATATAGAGTGAGCACTAGACATTTTGTATTCTGTGTTGTAATTGAAATCAATATATTTGAAAATGAAGAAAAACATCCAAAATATTTATAATAAATTTAAATTGATATTCTGTTATTGTTTAACAGTGTGATTAAAACTGCAATTAATCACAGCAATTTTTTTAAATCTTGAATTATTTTAAATAGTTTGACAGCCTCTCTCTCTCTCTCTCTCTTTTGTACAATTAGAGTTCATAAAGGACTATTAGTAACTTCTGCAATTATATGAACTAATAGTATAGTTTTAAACTTTTTGAGGCAGGGACTTTTGTGTTTGCATAGCACTAGCATATTGTGAGTACTGTTGGAAACAGATAATTACTATTATGTATGACTTTTTTACTGGTAGCACCCACAGTGTACTAGGTGCTGTGCAAACATAAAGGCCTGATCCTACATTCCTTAGGTTATTAGCACTTTCCACATATAACTACTAATAAATAAAACTGGTTGGGAAATAAAATTTTTGATTCATGAAAAATTTCAGAATTTCAGAAAAAAAATAATAATGAATCAGATGAAAACATCAAAATTTTTCATGGGACTGAAATTCTGAAATATTTTGTTTCATAAACACCAAAATAAAATATGCTCCTCAGAATCCCATGTTCCACAGCAGCCTGCCTGGCAGGCTGGTGGAATGCCAAGTTTCCTATGCTCCACAGACTCAACTGGCCAGTCAGGCAGATGGCCTGCTAGGGAGTTGGCTGTCTGGAAAGCCAACCAGCCCAGCAAGCCAACCACCCAGGGAAATGGGCAGCCCTCCCACCTGCCTGTTATGTGGGAAGCTGAGGAGCCAGCCAGCTGGGGAGCTGTCTGACTGGGGAGCCAGGAAGCCCACCCGCCCACAGGGTGGGTAGCCCAGAGAGCTAGTTAGTTGGGAAGCCAGCCAGCATGGAAAGGCAGCCAGTCTTTCCCAGTAGAGCTGGGTGCCTGGGGCGCCAGGGATCCGTGGGAAGCCAGCCTGCCAGTGGGACTGCCAGTGAGCCTCGGGAGCTGGGTGAGATAGTAGGAAGCCAGCCTGCCTGTGTGCCTAGTTTCCATCAAAAGTTTCAAGGGAAATGACATGATCCTGCAGAATATTTCAAGTCCATCAAATCAGCATTTTCTGATAGAAAACTGTTCAGTTGGAAATGTTTTGACCAGCTCTATTACTAAAGTTATCTACGGTAGTTATGTGTATCAGAAATAGTGTTTTTCATCCAGGGTGGTGTGTTTTTTATATATTTATTTTAAATATTTTTAGAATGAATTCTGGAAATGAATATAAAAAATCTTACACCTCTCTTTAAGGGGCAACAGTTTTTTACAATTACTTTTCTCCTGCTCCACAGGTCAATATATCTAATGTGCTTTGCCTTTAAGAAATCATCAAGTTCTCAACCCTGTCAAGCTCATGGATTCTCGTTAGCTTCCGTAATCCTTACGGGAAAAGTACCATATTTTTATTTTCTCTGGAATCCAGAATTTTTTATTTTTTTTCATTGTGTTCCTTATTTCTTAGATCAGTAATTTTTTTATTCCTAATTTCTCCTGGATGTTTTTCTTCCTTGCCAGAATAAATTTGTTGTATCAATTTTTTATTTAGTTATATATTTTGTAAAGAGGGAACCAAAATATTTTAAAGTGTATTAAAAGTTTTATTTGATGTAGTGTTATTGCTCTCAAAGGCCCCCCTTCAGCAGTCCCTTTCTTTTCATCAAAGCAATTAAGCACATACTTAACTATTTTGGTATCTGATCCTGTGCTTTTAAGTCAATGGGAGCTTTATCATTGATTTCAGTGGCCACAAGATCAAGCCCTTGCTGAATAGGGATAGACTGGTGTATGTGCTTGTCAGGGCCTAATTTACTATATCACACTCAGATTAGAAATTGCTGTTCTTTATAACCAAAACTCAGATTGTATGTTCAGTAACTGCTATCTCTATAGTCTCCTCATGATGCGCAGAAGTGCAGAATTCTAATTCATGCCTGCATGAATATCAATATAATTTGCAAAAAGTAACAGAGGGTCCTGTGGCACCTTTAAGACTAACAGAAGTATTGGGAGCATAAGTTTTCGTGGGTAAGAACCTCACTTCTTCAGATGCAAGACGCTTGCATCTGAAGAAGTGAGGCTTTTACCCACGAAAGCTTATGCTCCCAATACTTCTGTTAGTCTTAAAGGTGCCACAGGACCCTCTGTTACTTTTTACAGATTCAGACTAACATGGCTATCCCTCTGATAATATAATTTGCCTTATTTTAACATTGAAAAAATAACAATAATTTTGAATTTTGAAAAATTCTCAGGCTGATGTATAGAGGAAAATCTAGCAATTTCCAGCAAATATTGGAATATGTATCAACTATACATGACATATTTTTTTCTCTAACTCTTTTCAGAGCCAAATTTTGTGTCATCCTATGACATTGGAAACTTCACCTACTTCTTCTTCCGAGAGAATGCAGTAGAGCATGACTGTGGAAAAACAGTCTTTTCCCGGGCTGCTCGGGTCTGTAAAAATGATATTGGGGGCAGATTTTTGCTAGAAGACACCTGGACAACCTTTATGAAGGCTCGTCTGAACTGCTCTCGCCCTGGAGAAATTCCATTTTACTACAATGAATTACAAAGCACTTTCTTCCTGCCAGAATTGGACTTAATCTATGGGATCTTTACAACAAATGTGTATGTAACTTACATAAAATTTGTTACTTTTTCTGTTATATTCAGAGTCAAGTCTAAGGCGCTCAAGCTCCCTTCTGGTTCTACATGTGGAAGGGATATTATATAAACAGATCATCTTGTACTGAAATATTTTGACGGTCTGCTCTACTAGTTCAGACCAGTGGTCCACCTAGTCCAGTGTCCTGTCTCCAACAAATAATGGTTAACGCCAAATGCTTCACTTAGCAGGGCCGGCTCCAGGCACCAGGCACCCAAGCTGGTGCTTGGGGCGGCACCTGGAGGGGGGCGGCGGGGCGCTCCGGCCGCGGGGGAGAGCGGGGCCACAGCAGAGCTCGCCGCCCTCCCCCGGGTGCTCTGGCCGCCCTCCCCCCGGCCGCCGGGGGGAGAGCGGCGAGCCCCTACCGGGGCTCGCCGCCCTGCGC